AGCGACTCTAGCAAATCACTAAGGCGGTACTCTGTGTGGGTCTCGTGAAAGGGACTGTAGTAACCACTCCCGATGTGTTGGCTTGAGTAGGTCCCCAACTGCTGAGTGGCCAAACTGGAAGGGAATTTGTGCATTTGGAGTAGTTGTGTTGGATGGCTTTCAAGGAATGCTCCAGACCTGAGATTAAATTTGGGTCTGCTGAGTGGACACCAGCTGTGTTTGATTATGGGTTGAAGCCTAGAAAGAACAGAGTGTGGAGGGTAAGTGCATGAGGCACCTGAGCCTGTTTCCACAAATTCCTTTTCTGTCACCGGGCCAGAGTGTAGAGTCTGGAAGTTGAGGAGAAAAATAAATGCCTCATCTCACACAATGAAAAAACCGTATAATATTCACTTATGAAAAAATCGAGCATTTGGTTATATGAAAAGTTTGAGAATTTTAATAATGCCCCCCAGTTCAGCCCTTTATCACACTGATTTATTTAGGGATCTTAAGGTTAATAGGATAGATATGTCCAGGTACAACTTTATCCTATTTACATAAAGAAACATTAAAAATCCAAGATACCTTTGTAACAGAATTAGAAGTTCAGTAGTTGAACATAACAGCAGAAAATGCGGAATAGCTATTAAATTCCCCATTTCTTCTCAGCAAATTGCCAAAAGAAACAAAAGTGACCAGTGACCTTTTTTTTTTTGGTGAACTCTGAAGGTATACGATGGCTGATGAGTCAAAAATAAGAAAATTCGGTTTTTACTCTTTCTAGAAGCTTCCAAAGAATACCTATCTAGTCACCCTAAAAAGCTCTCTCTTCATAATTCAGCCACTAGAAGGGAGTCTCTCAGAGGGAAGGCAGACAGTGAACTGGGGTTGACTTCGGGGGTATTAAAAAGCCTCGACTGGTTGACAGCTTATGAGGAACAGCTATTTGGTTACTAGCATATAAAAGAAAAAAAAAGAGCTAAATCACAGCCAATGGGAAAATGCTGACTATGGATTCATTTATCCAACCTACCTTGGGCCAAATGGACATTATATGAATCTCCCCATTCAAAAGGCTTATAATAAAGTGCACCAGTTCACAGAGTACAGAAATCCAAGCATTCGGACATTTGTCCACAGTGCGTGGGGCTGTTCGTCAGGGACGGCTTCTGAGTAGCCAGTAGCAAAAGTGTCTTTCATGGCAGGAGAGGACTGTCCCCTCGCAAGTGACGGCAGCTCTTCACATCCCTTCAATGTTAAAAGATAATGAAGTGAATCCCGGACAGAGAAACTCACACGAGCGATTACACATACGAAAAAAAGGCAGATTCTGGGATAGAATTCCTGAGACAGACGGACCCTGGGTCTGATCGTATCAAGAAATTCTGAGAGTCTCTTCATTTTGTGTTCCCCTGGAATTTAGTTCCATAAAAGCTTCTAAAAACAACAGGAAGCTCAGAGTGAATCAAAGCCACCTGAGAACAGCCTCAGGCTGGTGGGAGATGAGCTTCTGTCGGTCCCAGGCTCAGCGAGGCACTTTGAACAGACCAGTGACCGCAGTCACAAAACACAGTTTGCAAACGGCAAGATCAGCCAACGATGTGATCAGACCGTCACGAAGAACCGGGTCAGCGGGGAGACCAGCAGCAGAGACATCCCGGGTAGAAGAAAGAGCCCAGAGCTACACGACAGACCGTTCTCCGCGTCCGCAGCTCTTGTTTCCTTTACTGGGTCTGCTTTGACTTTGAGACACGAGTTTTCATGCTGTGCCCCACGAGACCATGGAAGTCCATGAGCATCTCTCGACGAGGTCCTTTAAAGACAGCGGGGACCTTTTTCACCGTGCCTCGCTTCTGTCATTTTCAGCTACGCAAAGCATGGCATTCACAGAGCACGGATATCATCCAGAACATTCCACTTCCCCTCCGGCGATTTGATAAGCTGTGATTTAATTAGCGGATACAGTGGTGGCCGGTGGCAGTGTACAGGAGGCCAACAGTGTGGATGTTTGACCGTGTGTGTCAATGACTTGATGTGGGGGTGCTCGGTGCGGTGAGGCTCGGGAGGAGAGCAGGCTGCCCAAAAGCCATCGACGCTCACGCACTTAGCCCGGAAGGCCCGTCGGAAGGCCTCACCAGACCCCACGGGAAGCAGAAGTATTCCCGTAGAGTGAATCACGATTTAAAATCAATGCTTGAGAATAAATAAGGCACCAGGTTAATGGAAGTGACACAGAACTCTAAACTATGGTCTTGGACTGTGTTTGCATTCCTTTTCATATTCCCCTTTGGGAAATTAACTCCTGGAATATTTATCGAGAAAAACAATGGAAGTTAGCAGTTAGCCTCTTGCTCCTAATTTCTGGCAAGGGCATCGTCAGATTGTCTCGAATTCACGTGTTTTTGCTTTGCCTTCTTTCCTTCTTGGGAAATCATTGGTGGGGCGTTTGGGGGGGGAGCAGGATGGAAGTTACTCATCTGTTTAGCACAGACATGGAGTTGGAAAGAGAGGAAGGCCACTTCTAGAGGGGCACATAAAGCATCCAAATGCAAAAGAAGATTCTGCCGAATTGAACACTCTCAGGAAACCCGGCCCATTTATGAAACTCTGTGCAGGGGCTGTTTTCCCAGCTGCCTGGAGGCCAGCTTTGTCTCCTGAAGTCAGTGTCCTGGCTGAGGAGGTGGGCCTCTGGGCCACAGGGCAGGGGGCACTCTGCTGCTGCTGGCCCTTGTGGCACGAAGTCCCGGGACACGGTTCCTGGTGCCACCTTACTTATGGGCTCAGCGCAAAATGGCAAAGACAGTCATTTTATAAAGGATTCAGTTCTCTCCTATCACATGGGAAGGTGAGGGACAGTGAAAGGGGCTCCCTTATGCCAAGCCAACGCTTGTCCCTCAGCTGGGACGCGCACTCCAGGAGACAACAGCATGTCTCCCCCTTGGACTCCCTTTCGAACCCAGCCCCGGTTGCTCTTCTTTGCCCAGGACCGAACCGGGTATGTTTGCTTGTCTCCATGCCCACTCTGCTTATTCTTTAGTTTTCTTTCTTTTTAAAATCATTTCCAAAACCACCTTTACTTTAGCGAGATGGCTGGCAGGACCGTCCCCCTACTCAATATTTAAAATAAATTAAATGGTAAATATTTAGAGTCTCATGGCCTAGCCACTAGTGGTGAACACTTCCATTAAGGACCTCCCCATCTTGCCCGGCTGTCTTCACTGACGGGTCATATATCCAGTAAGGCCTATGTTGGAAGCAACAAAGAAAGAAGCTACGTGACCATCAGCTGACCCACATGGCCCTTCTGCACCAATGGAACCCACAGGATGAGACTCAGAACTTTTTCTAGAAAAGCAAGTCTCTAGATATAAAAGGTAGTAATTGAGATTGCTTTTCCTTGCTCTGAAAACACATATATATATACTGGTCCTCAAGAAGATCCCTAACACAATGTCCTGTTTTATATGGATGTTACTTATGCCAAAGTGACCCGACAAAATGTTCCATCACAGTGATGACAGTCCCGATCTCCAGCACAGCTTCAGAGTTCCTGTGTGTACCCACACCGACAGCTGAAGGCTGTGGATTTGTTTTCCTTTGTAGGCTCTCTGTGAGAACCCAGTATGGATTATCTCAGGGTACCACAAAGATTAGTTCAAGGAAAAGATTATACATCACAATGCTTAGCATTTATATAGGTTCTTTTGATTTCAAAACAAGTTATAAATATTTCCTACCGTGACAACATCTACGCGAGGTAGGTACGACCGTCCCTACGTTACCAAAAGAAACCCGAGGCCAAGGAGAGCAGGACCCTGTTCCAGGCCCGCGGGGGTTAGGAGCGACCTTGAGACTGGCATCCTGGTGACCACCTGCTCTGGGCTCTAAAGAGGCCATGCCTGTCTTGACGGGGGGCAACAGTCTCTATTAATATAGGGCTATATATTGTATAGATAGAAAACAGCAACACATGATGACGTTATAGAACAATAATCCAATATTTTTGTTTCTTAGTAAAATATGTGAAGCACAGTATTTAAATTGCATTTCTCTGAAAAGCATTTGGTATATTAAATAGCTCTATAAAGGTTTGCTGGCATACCCTTAACAGCATAATGAATGATTCTAAAGAAATTAAAATCCACGGATGCATAGAGATCTTGCTGATTTAATACCATTAAGCTAACAAAAAAAAAAAAAAATGTGAGAAACTACTTTATTCTCATAATGCAGACCTAATTGCTTGCTGGATTTTCGCAGGTAGCTACCTAATTTTTCCGAGCTTGAGAGAAAAGATACCTATTGCTGGCTGTGGTTTTTAAACTCTTAATTTGAGGGGGAAATGCAGTTGGAAGGTGAAAATTAAAGACTGCTATTTCCACTTGGTATCCATTCGGAGGAATTCATACATTTCCAAGAAACGTTGCCATACTTGGAACTAGCGTGGAGGTGGACAGAGGGACGCTGATGCTAAGGACGACATTCTCTGAGAAGAGAAAAAAATGGTACCAAGTAAAAGGTACGGTATTTGAAGAAAATGAATGAAGAGGCCAAAGGGTGGTTTTCGAGCGTGCCGAGGCTGGCATGAGGTGTGAGCTGTTCACGCTCGGATGACTGCATGGGTCTTGGAGACGGTTTACGGGCTCAGTACTTGGCTGGATCAGTCCCTTGGCTGTGGTGAAAGCCTCACTCGCCTAAGAAGCAGATCTCAGAAGGGTGTGAAAGCATTTACCTCATGCTAAGCTTCGAAAGGACCGACCAGTTGGGTCAGCAGAAAAAGGTCTAAAACTAGGAAGGAAGAGGCATGAGAGTTTTAAAATCGGTATGCAAACGTAAAAACTAACTTCCAAGCTGAAATGACATTCTCTGTTAGGAGTAACAAATACAAAAGTCCTAAACTTCGTGTACACGCCGCTAAGATATTGTTAGATAAGATATTACATGGCGTGCGGAAAATATTTTTGTGGAAGTGTGCTTTTTCCCTAAAAAAGACATATTAAATTGTGTGGTTTTTTTTTTTTTTTAAACTCTCCTCAAGTCCCTTCTACATAAATAGGAAAGACAAGCTGTCCTGTCAGTTTGTTCCTTCACGGGATACGCTGGCGGGGTCCTTCGCGCTGAGGGGGTACGTGGCAGTTTTGTTGGTGGGGGGTCTGAGCCTGGACAGGCCAGAGCAGTTCCGCTGCTTGGTCGGCTGCAGGGTCCTGGCGTAGGGCGAGTACCAGTCCCGCTCAAACACATCCTTCAGCTGCTTGATGATGCTCCTGTTGTTCCTCACGTCCGCCTGGTTGATAACGAGGCCTGTGCCGGCGTTCTGGGTGAAGTCATTCCCCACCCAGTCAAAGTTGCCTGCCAATGAACAAAGGAGAGAACGGTGCCGAGTTAAGAGCCACGGGAGAACAGTCCCCGTTTAATGAAACACTGAGCAGATTCTATTTAAAAAAAAATGATGATGATGACATGGAGACTGAATTGTGTTGACAGCTGAGGAAAAAAATTCCAAGAGGCCTTACATATGGCGTATTAATATTGCATATTATTTTGGCATTTTCTTCAGCTTTGCTCAACTTGAAACTCAAAACAAGGAATCTGCTGGGTTTTTTTTTTTTTTGGTAAATGTTATTTCTTATTGACATTCACAAGACACACTAAATACAGCAACATTTAGGATATATAGGAATACACTTAAAAATCCTGTGAACAATTACTACCTTCTCAAGAGACAACATCTGATCCGGACGTACAGACGAGGGGTTCTGATTAAAGTGCTCACAAGCTTGCCTGTCGAAGAAAAGGCTGAAGCCAGAGGAGGAGGATCAGTTCCTGTCTGAATAGACAATCCTCTCCTTGCTCGGCCTGTAGGTCAGTTCCCCGTTCCAGGAGCTGGCTTCTTGGCTTGGGAAGCAAGGCAGCTGCTATGATGGTGGCTCCCCAGCACAGCTGCCTGGTGTGGGGCAGTGTGTTATTGGTTTGCTAAGGCTGCCGTAACCAAGGCCCACCGCTTAAACCAGCAAGGCAGCTTAAACCAGACAAATCTATCGTCTCATAGTTCTGGAGGCCAGAAGTCCAAAATCAACATGGCGGCAGGGTTGGTTCCTACCGGGACAGAGAATCTGTTCCGGGCCGCTCCCCTAGGCTTGTAAGATGGCCAGCTTCTCCCCATGTCTCTTCACATTCTCTTCCCTCTCTGCATGTCTTTTCTGGGTCCAAATTTCCCTTATTTATAAGGGCACTGGTCAAATTGGATCAGGGCTCACCCTGATGAACTCATTCTGACTTGATGACCTCAGTATAGACTCTCACGTCAAATAAGGTCATATTCTGAGGTACTGGGAGTTATAACTTCTAACATAAGAATTTGGTGGGGGGGGGGGACGTGGTTCAGCCTCTGGGTAGTAAGGCTGGAATCTTTCCTGGAAGGGGCCAATCATATCTAGGTCACTCATGTGTAGTCCATCTTCAATGGGGGAGTAGATAAAAGGAGAGACTACCCCAAAGTCCCACTTGAATCTCCTATCTTGGCAATCATTGGGGAGAAGACTCTAGTGGGAGAAGAAAGTTTTCTTCTCAGGAAGGTTCAGTACAGTTCATTTCTTTGATCTTTTTGTCCTTCATTTAATGCACATTTCCTGAGTGTCTAGTGTCTACCAGGTGGGTACCTGAGGCCATGATACAAACCAAACAATGACAGTCCCTGACTTCAAGGCGTCCAGGAAGGAGAAACAATGATTATAACGCAGAGAGATGAATGCACACAGTGTCATGAGGGCAAGGGAAAGGATTCCCAACTCTGGCTGCCTGAGTCAGGAAAGCATTTTGTTGAGTCAGAAGAGATACACGGAGACATCAATTAGGAAGTTAGAGAGCCACACCCGCAGACAGATGTGGACAAAAATATGATGGGATCTTGGAACATGTTGGGGAAGAGTTAGGAAAGAAGTGGGATATAAGGGCCTTGGTTAGGGGAGAGAAACTGTCCTTTATTAAGTGCCTACTATGAGCAAAGCACTGGACTTGGCATTTGTATCCATTATCTTTCATAGTTGGTAGGATTTACACCCGTTCCACAGATGAGAGGCCTGAGGCTCAGAAAGGTGAGCAAATTTGACCAATGGTGGACCCAGGTCTCCACAGACTATTTATAATACCATAAAGGAAGCAGTGTTCTCACTAAAAAAAGATTTCTTGAATTACTGCTGGCCTGGGTCTGGTCTCAGCTCTCAGTTTTGTGCTCCTCTTTGGTTCAGAGCTGGTTTCATAAAGAAAACGGAAAGCGTGTTAAGTGTAAAGCTTGATTTCTAGGCCCCCAGAGTCTCTTCAGCCATCAATGTAGGAATATTTGCTGAATAAGACACTGAGCCTCCCTGACCCAAGGCCCTGCAGTCATTTGGGCAGGAAGAGACACCCACAGAGAGCTGATATCTGCTCCTTCCTGGCGCTCGTCCTGTGGGCCCTCCTCTGCTCTCTGGAGGCCCCGCACGTATGAACTCCCCTTTCCACCAGCACTTCCTGGAATAGCGGAAGTAGTTCCCTTTTCTCCCACTGCACTCCTTGACTTTATTCCTCGGGGCCTAACACTGGATCCCTAAATAAAATATCAGCATAGAGATCAAACTCTTCTCCCTCTCTCTCTCTGTCCTCCATCTCACACTGTCTCCCGCCACTCCCCAAACACCACACTGTTACCCCTGATGGTTTCATGACAGACATGACGTTGGATGAATTTTGTTGCTATAAATGAGGGAACCGTCCACCAAAGGGTTCATGATATGGTGTTGGAGTCTCTTCCAGAGCTGTTTCTGACCAGGTGCTGTCAGACACATGGCCATGCTCAGTGGTGGCAGGTCTGCGTGACATTCAATGCCACAGAAACACATGCTTGGACTTCTCAAACTGGGGATCAGCAGCAAATGCAGGTTAAGAGTTATTCTGGAACCCGCTGGCAGGTAGCACCTTCAAGTCATCCCATGAACAGAAGACCCCTGTGCTCCTGCACGCCTTTCCGAGGACTTGTGACTAAACGCTCAAGTCTCGTCCCCACAGCTGAGTGCCAGGCGGTGAATTCGTTCCCTCATTACATGATCTCATTCAATACCCACTGCGAGCCTATGAGGAGATAATATTCCATTGTACCGATGCGGAAATGAAGGCACAGAAAGGTCACGTACTTTGTCCAACACTGGAGTGGAAAAATATCAGAGCTGAGTTTCAAAGCCAGGTCGGACCCCACAGCCCACACCTCAGCTTCTGTTCTGTGTCACGTCTGATCCTAAAGGCCTGCGTGGTACCAACTGTGCATTCCCCTCCCCCACCTCTGGGCTTCAGCGGCAGCCACTAGGGCTGGAGCATCGGGCTGCACTGAGCTCCTCTCCTCTAGGGACCACACACTCTGAGCGACACGGAGATGGGGATAGGCTTTGGGGGCCGCATGAGAAGACGAAAAGATAAGGGGAGAGAAGTCACAACATTTTGGAGCCTTATTTTGGAGCCTTATTTTGTGAGATTCGACTTTTCCCTTCAAGACAGTGGATGGAGCCAAGATTCTGCACCTTTGATTCTCCAAAGCTTTAATTAGGTTCTTCTCTGGAACTCCAGCCCTAGACAGCGCTTTCTCAGGCCCACAGAGGCCTCCCTCCACCAGGGTGATCATGTTTTCCCACCTTTCACTTCCTCATGGTTTGGCTCAAGTTCAGAATCATAGACCTGCGTCCGTGTTTTCTCAACTGGAACACGGTTCCATCCAGGGCTGAGCCTGCCATCGTGGCTTCCTGAATGCGTGCACGGGGCCGGGCAGCGGGAGAACTATACGGCCATCCTGGAGCCATGGCGCAGGTACAGATAAGCTCACTGGGAAGGTATGTGTACCTCAGTGAGCCTTCTGAGTGCCTCCGATTAGCCCACCACCCCCTTGTCAGCCCTCCAACAATTCAAACCATCTTCTGGACAAATCCACCAAGCCAGACTCAAATACACTCCAGGGAATTCAAAATTAGAGAGACAGTACTGTTCGGGAATGTTCTGTTAAGTCTCGTGAAGATTTAATGAGCTATACTTCCACGTAAGATCTAGTGTGGATTATTCTTAACTCCGCATTCTCAGCAGGTGTCCGCGTGACGACTTGAGATTTCCAGAACGTGCTGATAATTATTTAAATTATCACTGAATTTTCCCTCTGGATGCTTTTTAAATATTTTTATACAAGGACTATGCCTTGCTCTAGGGAATTAAATGTTTTGCCAAAATGCTGTGTGTAAAATGAACTCATTTAAAAATGCATTAGAATAGCCAGAAACAGATCATGTAGATAGAGTGAACTCATCCTTACAGAGGAGCAAAGGCAATACGAGGGGGGCAAAGCTAGTCTTTCCAACAATGGCGCTGGAAGAATGACATCCACCCGCAAAAAAGGGAATCTTGACACAGACCCTACACCTTTAACAAAAAATACCTCTAAATGGATCAAAGAAAAATGTAAAATGCAAAACTATAAAACTTCTAGAAAATGACAAATAAGAAAATCTAGATGACATTGGGTTTGGTGAGGACTTTTTAGACACAACACCAATGGCACAATCCAGGGAAGAAATCACTGATAAGCTGGACTTCATTAGAATTTAAAATGTTTTCTCTGTGAAAGACAGTCAAGAGAATAAAGAGATAAGCCACAGGCTGGGAGGAAATATTTGCAAAAGACACACCTGATAAAAGACTGTTATTCCAAATATACAAAGAACTCTTAAAACTCAACAATAAGAAAATGAAAAGCCTGATGAAAAAAATGGGCCAAAGACACCTCATCCAAGATGATATTGAAAAAAATGGGCCAAAGACACCTCATCCAAGATGATACTGAAAAAAATGGGCCAAAGACACCTCATCGAAGATGATATTCAGATGGTAAAAAAGCATATGAAGAAGTGCTCCACATCTATTATCAAGGAAATGCAGATTAAAACAGTAAGGAGGTACCTCTATAAACCTACGAGAATGGCCAAAATCTGGAAAACTGACACCACCAAATGCTGACAAGGATGTGGAGCAGCAGAACTCTCTGTCTCTGCTGGTGGGAATCCAAAATGGTAGAGCAGCCTTGGAAGATAGTTTGGCAGTTTCTCACAAAACTCAATATCGTCCTATCATTCGATAGGACAGTCATGCTCCTTGCCATTACCCAATGGGGTTGAAAACATGTCCACACAAAAACGTGTGTGCATATGTTTATAGCAGCTTATTCATAACTGCCAAAACCTGGAAGCAACCAAGATGTCCTGAAGGTAAATGGATGAACTGATCCCTCCAGACAGTGGAATATTATTCAGCGCAAAGAACACAGGAGCTATCTAGCCATCCAGAGATCCCGAGGAAGCTTAAACGCATACTGCTAAGTAGGAGAAGCCAACCTGACAAGGATATACACTATTTGAGTCCAACTATGTGAGAACTTGGAAAAGCCCAAACAATGGAGACCGTAAAAGAGATCAGTGGTTGCCAGGAGCTGGCAGGGAGGCAGGGAGCACAGAGGACGGGTAGGACAGTGAAATGACTATGACACAGTAATCGTGCATATACGTCATTACACATTTGTCAGGACCCACAGAATGTCACATCGATAGTGAACCCCCAGGGTGCCTGGGTGGCTCAGTGGGTTAAGGCCTCTGCCTTCAGCTCAGGTCATGACCCCAGGGTCCTGGGATTGAGCCCTGCATTGGGCTCTCTACTCAGCGGGGAGCCTGCTTCCCCCTCTCTGCCTGCCTCTCTGCCTACTTGAGATCTGTCAAATAAATAAATAAAATAAAAAAAAAAAGACAGTAAACCCCCACTGTACATCAATATCGGTGTCGGTTCACCCATTGTAGCCAATGCACCACTTTGTGGGGCCGGCTGATAATGGGGCAGGTTGTGTTTCGTGTGTGAGGAGCCCAGGGATGTGAGAATTCTGTAGTTTCTGTTCAGTTTTGCTGTGAACCTAACTGCTCTAAAAAAAAAAAAAAAAAAAAAAAAAGTGTATTCTAAAAATATATCGTACAGGGAGAAGAAAAGAGAGAGCCAAAAATCCATATTTACTAAGGATTGAGACAGATGAGAGCCAGTGTTTGGAGCTTTTCCTATATTATCTCTTTCAATTTTTATACCACCACCAAAGGGTGGATACTTTTATACCCATTTTACAGATAAGAAAACAGAGGCGTGGGGGTGCCTGGGTGGCTCAGTCAGATGTGGCTGCCTTCGGCTCAGGTCATGATCCCCGGGTCCTGGGACTGAGCCCCGCATTGGGCTCCTGGGTCAGTGCAGACCCTGTTTCTCCCTCTCCCTGCCACTCTGTCTACTTATGCTCCCTCTCTATCTCTCTGTCAAATAAATAAAATCTTAGGAAAAAAAAAATCAAATGAGATAAAGTGCTTTACAAAGCAAAAACACCATACTCTTTACTCACTCACTGAACTGGGGGGAAAAAAACACCATATTCCATATTCTTCCATCCCACACACGTTTTTCTTTTCTGCTTTGAGCCTGCCATGTCCTCTGTACAATGTAATAGCCAGACTACCATTCTGGGATTTATGTCCCGTCTTTTATAGATAACAATTTCCACTCCGATGTTGATGGTACCAGTTAAGGGATTACTCTGGACTCATGCACACTGTAGGAAAGGAGCACAGACGGACACATTAGTAATTCCACCAGCTGGTATGATTTCAGCATCTGGAGTGTTATTACCCTAAAAATAACAGCTGACACGAATCCATTATTATCTATGTGCTGGGATTCTAATTGTGCAAGGTACCCTGCATATATTATTCTGCTTAAATTTCACCCAACAAAGTAGAAACTGTTATGGGCCCCATTGTACAGAGGATGTTGAGGCTTAGAGAGCGTAAGCAAGTTCTCCAAGGGCAGACATTTACAGAGCAGTGGAGGAGGGACGGTTGTCCAGGCAGTGCTCCTTGTGCTGACCTGCTGTCAGGTCAGCCTCCTGTGACTCAGGACAGGCTGGCTGAGGTACGGTGGGTGGGAAGGGAGCACTGTGTTCATTTAACTCTCAGGACTCTTTTTTTTTTTTTAAATTCTATTTATTTATTTGAGAGAGAGCCAGAGTAAGAGAAAAAAACACGAGCAGGGTGAGGGGCAGAGGGAGAAGCAGACCCCACCCTGAGCAGGGAGCCCGATGCAGGGCTCCATCCCAGGACCCCGGGATCATGACCTGAGCTGAAGGCAGACGCCCAACTGACCGAGCCACCTGGGTGCCCCTGGCACTTGCCTTTCGTGAGCCACTCACGTCCTCACCTGTAACACGAAACAAGTGGGCCAAAGAATTTCTGAAAACACTTATTAAAAATATCTTCTATGGTGTCCTCATACTTGAACCAAGCCCTAGAGGAGATGTTAAGTTCAAGGGTGTTTGTCCTCCCCGTCCTGTTTCCTCCAGGGCCTGCAGGGCATGGAAGACCACGGTGGGACCACCGTTGGCCTGCATGGTCCCGTGGTCCCCCAAGGAGCCCAACAGCCCCGACACCTACCAATATAAGCCGCGCTGTCCGTCACCATGTACTTGTTGCGGTTTAATTTAGGAAAGGTGTGATCCTTTTGTTCTTTTGTAGCACACACATTCTCTCTTTCCAGATCGAAAAATTTCTGTAAGACACCAAAATAAGCAAATCAAGAAAGCGGGTGAATAGGGAACATTTTTGGTTTTGTTCAGGAGCACAAAAGGGTTTCTTCTCCAAATATCCACAGTCGACCTCATGCTGCGTTATCAAAGCCACAATCTTGTTGCTCCATATAGAGGAAGCTATTTTTGTTCTCCCATCTATATAGGCAACAAGAGGGAAAATTAGCACGCTCAACAAGATCTATAATTAACACTTTTAAGCTGCAAAATGAGCATAAAATTCATTCTTTCAACAGGGTGAAGGCCAGAAGTTTCTTTAATTCTCATTGTCTTACTCATCAGGGTGCACTGGTATTTGAGGTCTGCCTCTGGGTGCTCTCTGTCACGCATGCTAACGGACTGAATAATGTTCCTCTGTTGCACGCATTATAAAAGCAGCAGGCCCTCTGTCAATGACTAGGTGATTCAGCTGGGGATTTGCAAAGGTCAAAAGAGATTTTGGCAAGAGAACAAATGCTTTGCATCTCAACACCTTGGTCTGCAAGCTCTTTTAATAAGTCAAAAACAAATCACCACTTCAGACTGTGAATCCTGAATTTCAACTTACTGTGACTCCAAAAGCACCTCTCAGGCCTGGGGCATAGGGTGGGTGGGCTGAGAGGGGGCTGACAGTGGAGGTAGGTGGGCTGGTTTTTCCAGAATCTGCTAGAACTGGTAACTGCTCAGACGAGACCTGAACCGTGACCGAGCTCACAGGATGGCCCACCCATTGAGAGTGATCTCTTGACTAAGAAGAGAATAAAAGGATGGTTTCTGCGTTCCTTGTAATTTCTTGCTAATCTTAAATGAGAGCACTTAATATTTCATAATGGAGATTTCAACGGGCAGTGTCTTCGAGAAGAGGGGCGAGCAAAGGCACCATGTGTGGTAGGCCCTAGACTTTCTTCCCTCTGCTTCTGTATTAGTCACGTCTTCTTTTCTGTGTTCCGATGCTTTGACATCTGAGCCATGCTGAGCCTGGGGGACTGCCCTCCCGAGGGCTGGCTAATTCCTGGAGATAGCAAACAACTTGCCTGTGAGAACACTTCTCATACGTAACCCAAACAGTCCATGGTCCATACCCTGAACCACCTCCTTTATGGGCTCCCACTCTGGGCCACTATCCACCTGCCCTAATCACCCCAGGGTCAGGTACCAGACAACTAGGGACAGCCCCTGGGCCCAAGAGCCCACCGAAGTCATTCAACTTGCTAGTCCTAACTGGGTTTATCCTGCCTTGCCCCTTCCCCAACCCTGTAAACCAAAACAAAAGTTCTTGTCCATGTTTCCCTCACTCCTGCCTCCCCGATGACCCTGGGACTTCCCATCTTGCTCCCTTCTCTTGAGATTTGTGAATAAAACAGTCTTTCCAATGGCCTTCATCTCCTGATCTGTGGGTACTGTCATATCTAAATCATAGTCAGGCCTGTATCTTACGACACTGCTGAACTTGGTAAGTCTGGCAATGGCGCTCCTCTGACTACGTGTACTGAACTTGGAGTGAATCAGCTCACCCGGCAGATTCTTCACCCTTTTCCAGCACACTAGAGTGTGCTAAAATGACTCCACGTCCACATGCTTCCTGCTCCCTTCACTCCCTGGTTCACAGATCCTTCCTGAACACTCTTCATCAGCTACCTTTTTTGATTCCTTCCTTCCTCCCATCCATCCACCCAACACACACGTTTTGATTGCTTTGTGCCAGCGTCCTGCTAAGCGCTGGGAGTACAGTGCTTCACTTGCTTTTCCACGGTGTCCCACGTACCACTTCAGTTATCTAGAAAATGCCACCCCCGAGCTGAAATAACCCCCAGGATTCTCTCATCCATGGAAAGGTACCGAGCACAAACGGACTCTGTTCTCCGGGGTCTCTGCCTGGCTTCCTGGGACCGTACCAGTGTTTCCTCTAATCCCTGATTATCTGATTCCAAACTGAGAGTGGTGCCCCGATCCCACTCCTGGTTATCACGTTCACTTGCAAATCTGGTGTGGAAAACAGATCCATAATAGTGATCATAGACCTGTTTCTTTCCATTTTCTGAGGAGTAACTGACATCTATCACTGTATAAATTTAAGTTGTACCACAGTATGCTTTGATTTACACATATCGTGACATGACACACAATACGTCCAGCTAGCATCTATCTTCTCATATAGATACAATAAAAAGGTAAGAAAGAAGAATAAACAAAATTTCTCCTTGTAATGAGAACTCTTAGGATTTATTTTCTTAGCAACTTAACCTGCATACCACGTAGCAGTGTTAGCTGTAGTCATCATGCTGTACGTTAAATCTCTAGTATTTATCTTGTAATTGGAAATTTGTACCCTTGACCACCTTCCTCCAATTCCCCGTCTCCCCTACCTTTACACCCCACCCCCCCTGTAACCACAAGTCTCATCTCTTTTTCTATGACTTTGTGTTCTTTGTTTTTGTTTTCAATTTTAGATTATACATATAATATCTTACAGTATCTGTTTTTCTCAGACTTATTTCACTTAGAATAATGCCTTCAAGGTCCACCTATGTTGTCAAAAATGGTAGTATTTCTTCATTTTTCTGGCTGAATGATAGTCTGTTGTATAGGTATACCACCACTTCTTTATCCATTCATCCACTGATGGGCACTTAAGTTGTTTCTATGTCTTGGCTACCATGAATACTGCTGCTAAGAACACAAAGGTGCAGATACCTTTTTGAGTTAGTGTTTTAGTTTCCTTGGGATATAGCCCCATAAATAGAATTGCTTAATCACTGTAGTTCTACTTTTAATTTTTTGGGGATTCTCCATACTATTTTCCATAGTGGCTGTGCCCATCTACATTCCTGCCAACGGTGCACACAGGCTCCCTTTTCTCCACATCCTTGTTATCTCTTGTCTTTTTGATGATGGCTGTCCTAACATGCATGCTATGGTATCTCACAGCGGTTTTGGTTTGCATTTCCCTAATGACTAGCAGTGTTGAGCATCTTTTCATGTACCTCTTGGCCCTCTGTATATCTTCTCTGGAGAAATGTCTGTTCAGGTGCTTTGCCCATTTTTTAATTGGGTTATTTGTTATTCAGTTGTATGAGTTTTTGATTGATTTTGGGTATTAAGCCCTTATCAAATATATGTTTGCAAACATTTTTCCCCTTCCATAGGTGATCTTTTCACTTTATTTCTTTTTAATTTTGTTGCTTGTATTTTAGATGTCCCAATTATTACCTTAATCCATGTCAAGCAACTTCGTTCTTGTGTTTTCTTCTAGGAGTTTCATGGTTTCAGGTCTTACAGTTAAGTCGTTAATCCATTTTGTGTTCATTTTTTGTGATCGGTGTATGATTTGGGTCCAGTCTCATTCTTTTACATGTGGATATCCAGTTATCCCACACCATTTGTTGATGAGATTATATTTTTTCCCATTGAGTATTCTTGGCTCCCTTGTCAAATATTGGTTGGTTGCATATGCTTGGGTTTATTTCTGAGCTCTTGGTTCTATTCCATTGGTCTATTTGTCTGTTTTTATGCTAGTACCATATCTGATGACCGTAGCTTTATAGCATAGCCTGAAATCGGGAAGTGTAATACTTGCTTCTTTGTTCTTCTTTCTCAAGATTTCTTTGGCTATTCAGGGTCTTTTGCAGTTCCACATAAATTTTATGAGCGTTTTTTCTACTTCTGTAAAAATGCCATTGGAATCTTGATTGGATTGCATTGAATCTATAGATGGCTTTGGTTGTATTAACGTTTAAACAATATCCATTTTTCTAATCTGTGAATGTGGGATACCTTTCCATTTTTTTGCATTGTCTTCGATTTCTTTCATCATTGTCTTATAGTTTTCAGCATAGAAATGGTTCATCTCCTTAGTTAAGTTTATTCCTAAGTATTTTGTTGTTTTGATGCTAGTATAAATGGAATCTATGTCTTTATTTCTTTTTCAGAAATTTCATTGTTAGTGTGTAGAAACACCACTGGTTTTTGTATTTAATTTCATATCCTGCAACTTTGCTTAATTCATTGATTAAATCCAACATTTTTTGGGTTGAGTCTTATGATTTTATATATAGAAAATCATGTAATCTGCAAATAGAGACAATTTTGCTTCTTCCTTTTTAATTCTGATACTTTTTATTTCCTTTTCTTGCTCTGGCTGGGACTTCCAGTACTATGTTGAATAGGAGTGGTAAGAGCTGGAACACTTTTCTTGTTTCTGATCTTAAAGGAAAAGCTTTCAACTCTTCATCATTGAGTAAGATGTTAGCTGTAGGCTTTACAGACCTGTTTCTATTTCTAATACTGATTTGTGAATTCAGACATGTTCATGGCTACCACAGTTTATAAAAACCAGGTAAATGGAAAAAAAATTTCTGTTTTCCATCAATATTATTAGAATATTAGGGAGATTAAAATGTAATCTACATGAGAATCACAATTTTTTGAAATTTATGGTAAATCCTAGAATTTTATGTCTTTATATTGTTGATAACTTCAACTTTAAAAAAAATTTAATGGTATGAATGAGTTAAAGAACATTTTATCTATATTTTTGTTTATCCCAGAAATATATGTCAGATGTGTAGCTTCTCAAGTCTTTACAATGTACAATATAAATTTCTGTCTTTACAATATAAATGTTCCTGCTTCATAGTGTAGTTGTGAATATTAGATAGTACATACAAAGTATGTAATTCAGTGCCTGTCCAACTGTCTATACTCATGAACTTAAATTCCTTCATTTAAAAAAAAATATTAAGCACTTACTACTTCTAGGCAAAGTGAAATGAGATGCTGCCATAGAGTAATGATAAAGATGTAACAGATGTAACAACGGTTTACCCAATGGGTAGCAGGCAACAAGGAAATTGGTACTGTAGCATGGAAGGAATGGAGAACAAAGCAGTGGCAAAGTATTTGGTAAAATCATAACCTGCATTAATTTGGAAGGAAGACCAAGCACTCCCCCCACTCCCCGCCCCCCCAAAAAACCTCTGGCTACAGGGCAAGGGATAGGGAACAAATTGTTAATAGTATATGTTGTTTGTTATTAGTGCTTTCAGGAAGTCATCAGAGGAGATGAATGAGCTCAGGATCAGGTGTGCTGGCTTGTAAGCAGACAGGAAAGAGAACAGATATACTGGAAATTTGGTATTTCAATGGGTTGGAAAAACGGATTGTGCTAGGAGCCTAAGAGCAGAAAATTAGTTTGAAAAATACTTTTAAGTGACTGAGGCCAGTTAAGACTCAATCCTGCAGCAAAGATCTGATAACTGGAATAATCATAATCGGTATAATCTTCCCACCCAAGTCTGATGAGCTGAATAAAGCCACCATTAATGAGAGAGAGAGGGAGAAAAGGAGGGGAAGGGGGAGAAAGGGGGGAGGGGGCGGGAGGCAGAGGCAGAAGTATAGGGGCAAGGAAGCATATTGGTCATGTTTCAGAATTATGTGCAACAAAACTTTTGGCTGTGGCTACTGGTACATACATTTAACTGGCCTTCCCCTGTCCCTGTTATTTGGGGAGGAGGTAACTTCAGCCTGGGTTTTGGGTCTTATGCATAATCGTTTTCTTTTTAGTTTCTGTTTATCAAACTGTGAGGTCCAGAACTGCACGTCTCTGGGAGGTCCTGAACTTTGTGCTGTGTGGTACCCAATGGGGGGTGAGGGTTCTCCATGTGGGTGCCCAGAATGGCAGACTGATGACCCACAGACCTGTTCCTTTGTCTTTTTGGGAACGCGCCTCCCCTGCCATTAGGTGTGGCAGGGCCGGCGACTTCTGAGCAGCAGCAGAAAGGCTAACGGGATCTTCACACCTCCAGGTCCACCCCGGAAATGCGTCACAGGCAGTCCTCCATTCTCTTTCCTGGCCTGGGGATGCTGAGGCTTGGGACTACCTTGGAAGCTATGTGTCAGAGCGGATGGTGACGTCCCTGTCATCTTGGTCCCTAAAGACTGCATGGAGCACAGAGCCATCACCCAGAAGGGTTCCTGGCACAGAGTAGGGTCTCAGGGTACATTTACCGAATGACTGCAGTGGGGGTTGGAAAAGGTGAGCCCTAAAGGACTAGCGGGCCTTAGTCAGATAAGGCACAGAGGAAAAGAGTGCTGTAGGCAGAGGGAACAGCGTGTGCAAAGGCCCAGAGGGGAGGAAGAAGGCATCACATGTGAGGACCCGAGGAGAATCAAAGATGAGCTATGGCATTGCTACACTGAGCTGAAAACCTGGTCCTGATCTTGCCTCCCTCAAAGTATGTGGATTAGCACCCAGCCCGAGGGACTGGAGCTCAGGTGGTGGTGGTGGGACACTGTGGAGGAGCACGTGTCGCTCCTTTGATGGTCACAGACTTAGAAACAGGAACGGCAGGTGAACGAGGCAGTTCAAGCAAAGCAGAGAAAACCCAACAGGCAGTGTGTGAAAACAGGGTGAGGCCGGGAGGGCTCCAGCAAACACGGGTTCCAGGCTCTTTTTCTCCTGTGTTTGTCTTAAAAAAAAAAAAAAAATACTTATCCTACTTTTGAAATATTTTCTCACTGTCAGAGACCGTAATCCTGGTTCTTAACTGGCAGTTTATGCAAATGCGTGTGCCTACAGCTTTCACGGACGTGGGGAGGGAATCAGCCCTTTTTATGTAATAATACTGAAGTCAACATCATACTTACAACTTTCAAACTGCAGTTGGCTATTTCAGTGCAAATAGCTTTAAGAGATGAAATAAAGTTAAATGTAAGGGGGTCAGTTTCCTTCCAGAAGCTTATAAGGAGTCGAACTTTAACGCTTCGCAAAACTAATGCTTCTCTTATTTTCCCATCCAAGTCTGGCCAGTAAGTCCTGTAGGAATAATATCCATGTGGATAAAAATAAAGAAAATAAGTTAGTTTGGGGGAAGAAATTTACTAGACTGCAAAGAACATTTATATTAACCCAATCATTACTTTGTTCTTCAATATAGACATAACCTGATAGGATACCTTGAAAACAAACAGATCTCCTGGGTTGGGCACCGACAGAGGATACTCTCCTGGGTCCTCCCCCTGCCTGAAATGAGTTCTCCCACCACCGGGGCCTCAGGGGGTGTGGACAGACTGACCTCCACCACCTGCTGTCCTCACCGCTCCTAATCACCTCAGCTCACCTGTGCGCTGAGAGTCAACTTTCCAACAGAATTCTTTGAGCACCCCATTAGTCCCCAAAGGCTTCGAGAACTTCTTCTTTGGAAATTGCCACCCCCCGCCCCCCAAGTGAGCTTCTGCTCTGACTACCCAAACTTCCCCATACTCTCATTTCCAGGCTGCCTTCCTCTTTCCTGACCAAGCCACCAGCTACTCTGGCCCTGGACTTCTCCACCAGGCCAACGGGATCTCCTGGAGGCTCAGCCTCTGCCCCGAATCCATAGCCTTTTGCCTTAACTAACTCCTGACTCCTCCTGAGGCCACAGCTTCTCCAGAACTTCTGCCATGTTATTTGCCACCACAATTTACCCACCTGGTTTAGGAGATGGGGTCGGCCCCCCCAACACCACACAGTGTCACTTCCAGAACTGTCATCGATTTCTCATTTAAAAAGAAAAACAACAAACATTTCTATCTTAAAGACAAGCCCCAAATCTCTCTATCTCCCCTCAGCTCTAATGCGCGTAGACCTTCTGTTCACTGGTTCAAATCTTTCCCTCATTCCAGGCCAACTCAGTTTGGACTAATAAAGTATTATCAAAACCTTAGCCTGCTGGCTTTGTAATCAGTGCACCTCCAAATGTCTCCTCTTTGTATGGACTAGCCTGTGGTCCCCCAGTGTCCCGCACCCTGTGAAATCCCCACTGAGTGCTCTCCTGACCTCTGTGACCCCCTCACTCTCCAGCTCCATCAGCTCTGGGTCCCTTTCCCAACCCAGCCCAACCTCAGTGATCACCTGAAGAACACATGCCCTGCCCCTTCCTCGAGCTCTTGGGCCAGAGCCACACCTCCCTTGGTCTGTTTCTACAGCCACAAAGCCAAGGACTGCTGAACAAGATCAGCTCAGCCCCGTGAGGTATGAGACATCACAAAGGCATCTAGGCCTTCACCGCCATCCATCACCCCGTCCTTGCCTTGGGCAAGTTCTTCCTCTAGGACCTTTCTGTAGCTACTCTAAGCTTTACCCCACTCAAGAGAAACCGGTTTCTCCCTCTATGCACAACGTAGAGCTTCTCTGTTCTGATCTTTCACAACTTTCTCCCCCCCCCCCCCAAGAGCCTCACACATCCTTCTCCCCTTTCCCCCAGCTCAGAGGATAAGGCAACCTGTTCAGGGTCAGACCTGGACCACCCTACCCCCTGGGCTATTCCCCTGACCCTTCGCAACTGTGTTTCATTGGCCATTCCTTCCCAAAGAGAGTTTCAACCCCCCCGCCCCGCCACCCCTTCCTCTTAGTTTGAGAACAAAATGTAAATCTTTCTCAGAAAACCCTCCCCTGACTGCATCTCTGTGTGGCTGGTGCACAATTTCTTTTCCCTTTTGAACTAAACTTCCATCTGTCTATCATTGGTCTTGGAGTGTAGCTGACACACGTTACGTTGGTCTCGGTGTACAACACAGCAATTCAGCATCTCTAGATATTACTTTGTGCTCACCACAAGGGCAGCTGCCATCTGTCCGCACACAGCACCGTGATACGATCATCGAGTATGTTCCCTATGCTGTGCCATCATCCTTGTGACTGACTCGTTCTGCAGCTGGAAGCCTGTACCTTGCTATCCCTTTGCCCATTTTGCCTATCCTCCTGCCCCTCCCCTCTGGCGACTATCAGTTTGCTCTCCGTATGTATGGGTCTGTCTCTACTTTTTTGAACGTAACTTCTCGAGAGTGTCATCTAGAACCTCTGACTTTACTTCACCGCCCCCACTCACTCCTCGGTCTACTGCCCCCTGGCCTCCAGCTCACCATTTTTGTGCAAATCTCCAAGTCAGTGGTGATGTCCCAAAAGCCAAATCTAATGGACATCATTCCATTCTTATTTTACTGTTAGTTTAAGCCACATGTGTCTCTGTTGATGGTTCTTTCCTTCTTGAAAGGGATTCCATGGCTTCTATGATCATGTGGTTTGATGGTCTGTCCCTTATCTCTCACAGTGTTCCTTTATCTATTGTACGGTCCATACACCCTTAGGACTCCATCACCATCCCATCCTCCTCTCTACAGGCCATCTCCATGGTGGCTTCATCTACGCACTTGATCTCAACTGTCTCTAGAGTTGAAAAGCTCCAAATTCACATCACCAGGCTAACCTTCTTCAGACTTCCTTCTGGATATCTTTGTAAGATCTTTACCCATCTGGACCTTTATAAGGAACTTAAAGTCACAAATCTGCTTATTTCCTTCTACTTTGTATAACATTCATCATCTCATCACCCAAAGCAAAAACCTGGCAATCCTTCTTGTGCCTGCTCTCCTTTTCCTCATGTACTTCAGAGATATTCCTGGAATGTATATCCTTTATTCTCTCCTCCCAGTCCATCATCATCCCTGACCTGGGCCACTTTAACTGCTCCAAAATGGTTTCTCAGCCTCCGGTCTTGTCCCTGTCAAGTACATTTTCCATGACCACCGAAGTGATCTGTTTACAAGTGCATCTCCCTTGATTAAAACATAGTAGAGGCTCCCCAAAGTCACAAGACTCCCTCACAGTCAGATCCTCCTGTCCTTGGTCCCTGCCCTCCCTCCAACTTGAGAGATCCAACTTGATCTCTCACCGCCTGTATCCAGCACCAAACCTGTTACAAATCCTGGCATGTGGTAGGGCTATTTTTCCCCACCTGAAACTTTGCCCAAGCTGTCCCTTCTACCTGGAAAACTCCTTCTTATCCTTTGTTTGATCAACTCCTCGTATTTTAAAATGTAATCAGGTAGCATTTCCTCCAGTAAGCTTCTGCTACCTTTGAACCTGCCACAGCTGCTCTCTCACTGAGGACCTATAATATGATATGGATATACTATTGTACCATTCACCGCACTGTGCTGTTATAATAGGTTCTGTGTCCATTCGCCCTATGGGATGGAGTTCCTGGGACCATACACCGCTCAGACTTTACTCACTCCTGCACAGTGCCCAATAAATATTTGTTGAATGCAAGCATAAGTGAAGAATATTAATAGCCCACAGACCAATCAGCCTCCTTTTTTTCTTATGGAATAAATTCGATGCATAGCATTGTATAAATTTAAAAAGCTACACAGCACATTACTTTTGTACAGTCTTATATTGTAATGATTGCCAATGTACTGACAGTCACCGTATTACATAATCACAGTAAAATGCTCACAGCACACTAGCCTTGACCTATTTACTACTCATTACAAGTTTGCAGTCTTAAACACTGTCACTCTTGTCCCTTATCCCCCAGCCATTGGTAACCATCATTGCACTGTGTTTTCTACAGGTAGAACTTTTCTAGATTCCATACAGAAGTGATATGGATTGCAAAAATCTTTCCCCATTCTGTAGGCTGTCCTTTTATTTTGTTAATTGTTTCCTTTGCGGTGCAAAACCTTTTGAGTTTGATATAGTCCCATCTGTTAATTTTTTGTTATTGTTGTTTGGGCTTTGGTGTCATGCCAAAAGAATTATTACCAAGACCATTATTGATGGGCTTTTCCCCTATATCTTCTTCTAGGAGTTTTATGATATCAGGTCTTATCTTTAAGTCTTTGATCTATCTTGAGTTAATTTTTGTGAGTCGTGTTGATAGGGGTCCAACTTCACTGTTCTCTATGTTTTTCTCCAGTTTCCCCCAGCACCATTTGTTGAAGAGATTGTCCTTTCCCCATTGAGTGTTCCTGGTGCCCGTGTTGAACATTAGTTGATTGTATAGGCTAGGGTTTAGTTCTGGGCTATTTTGTTGCATTGGTTGATGTCATTTATTTTTGTATTGTTTTTATTACTACGGCTTTGTCATGTAGTTTGAAATCAGGAAGTGTGATGCCTTGAACTTTGTTCTTTTTCTCAGGATTGTTTTTGGCTGTTTGGGGTCTTTAGTGGTTCTGCACAAATTTTAAGGTTATTTCTTTTATTTCTGTGAAGAATGCTTTTGGTATTTTGAAGGGGACTGCACTGAATCTGTAGATCACTTTCAGTAGTAGAGTCACTTTAACAATATTAATTCTTCTAGTCCACGGACAGAGATGCCTTTCCATTTATCTGTGTCTTCTTCAGTTTCTTTCAGCAAAGCTTTGTAGTTTTCACTGTACAGATCTTTCACTTCCTTTGTTAAATTTATTCCTAAGAATATTGTTTTTGATGTTACTGTGAATGTGATGGTTTTCCTGCTTTTTCAGAGGATTCATCATTGGTGTAAAGGAATGCAACTGATGTTGTATCGTAACACTTTACTGAAATTGTTGATTAATTCCAACAGTTTTTTTTTTAAACTGATTTTCTAGGATTTTCTACATATAAGGTCACATCATCAGCAAATAATGGTAATTTTACTTCTTTCTTCCCAATGTGTATTCCTTTTATTTCTTGCCTGATTGCTCTGGCTAGGGCTCCCAAGACTGTATTGGGTAAGACTGCTGACAGTAGGCATCCTTGCTTTTTTCCTGATCCTGGGGGAAATGCTTTAATTTCTCTCCAGTGAGTATAATGTTAGCTGTTGGTTTGTCATATATGGCCTTTATCATGCTGAGTTATAGTCCTTCGGTACTCATGTTAGAGGTTGTTTTTTTTTTTTTTAATTATCATGAAAGGGTGTTGTATTTTGTCAAATGGTTTTTGTCTATTGAGATGATCATGTCATATTTATCATTTTATTGATGCAGTGTATTTGCATTTGTTGACTTGCGTATGTTGAAATACCGTTGTATCCCAGGGATAAAATCCCATTTGTTCATTGTGTATAATCCTTTTTAATGTGTTCCTGAATTCGGTCTGCTAATATTCTCTTGAGAATATTTGCATCTATATCCATCAGGGATATTGGTCTATAGTTTTCTTTCTTGTGGTCTCATCTGATTTTGGTAGCAAAGTAATGCTGGCCTCACAGAATGAGTTTGAAAGTGTTTCTCCTTCTTGGTATTTTGAACAAGTTTGGGGGAGGACTGGTGTTAATTCTGCTTTAAACATTTGGTCCTGAGATTTCTTGTGTTGGGAGGTTTTTTTTTTATTACTGATTCAATCTCTTTACTCACAACTGGTCTGTTCAGATTTTCTCCATCTTCCTGTGTTAGTCTTGGTAGGTTGTGTGTTTCTAGAAATGTAGTCATTTCTTTTAGTTTACATAATTTCTTGACATATAATTGTTCAGAGTAGTCTCATAATTCTAGGTATTTCTGTAGTATCAGTTGTAATGTCTCCTCTTTCATGTTTATTTCTTTGAGCTTTCTCTCTTTTTTCCTTAGTTAGTCTAGCTAAAGGCTTCAATTTTGTTTTTCTTTTCAGAGAACCAGTTCTTGGTTTGTTGACACTTTCTATTGATTTGGTCTCTATTTCATTTATTTCTGCTTTAATACTTATTTTCTTTTTTTAGTTCCTTGTGGTGTAAAGTGAGGTTATTTAAGATCTTTCTCCTTTCCCAGTGTATGTATTTATAGTCATAAACTTTCTTCTTGGATCTGCTTTTATGCATCCCATAATATTCGATATGTTGTGTTTTCAAGACAAGTTTTAATTTCCCTTTTGATTTCTTCTTTGACTCAACAGTTGTTTAGAAGTGCTTTTAGTTTCACGTATTTGTAGATCTTTTTACTGTCTTCTTGTTGATTCCTAGTTTCTTATGATTGTGGTCAGAGAAGATAGTTGGTATGATTTCAACTCTCAAATTTGCTGATTTGTGGCCTAATACGTGATTTATCCTGGAGAACGTTCCACGTGCACTTGAGAAGAATGTGTATTCTGGTGCTGTTGGGTGTGATGTTCTGTGCGCGCCTGCTAAGTCCGTTTGTTCTAAAGCTAGGTTCAACTGCAACATCTTCTTGTTGACTTTCTGTCTGGTTGGTTTATCCATGGCTGTTGCTGGGTATTAGAGTGCCCTACAATTACCGCATTATTGTCTCTCTCTCCCTTAGGATCCCTCATTAATTGCTTAGTACGTTTTGAAGTCGCAGAGTTGGCAGCAAGCCCGTACATTTCCGATCGCTCTATCTTCTTGATATACTGGCCCTTTTATCATTATATAAGGACCTTCTTTGTCTCCTGGGACCCTTTCTGGCTTAAAGTCTATTTTGTCTGATATAAGTATGGTTATACTTGCCTTCATTTCTGTTCGCTTGAGGAGTGTCATCTTGCATTCCCGCACTCTGAGCCTGTCGTGTCTCTAGAGCTGAAGTGAGTCCCCTGTAGGCAGCATATTTGCTTTTTTGTCCCTCCCGCCACTCTGTGCCTTTTGATTGGTGAGTTCAGTGCATTTTCACAGAGGGTGATTGCTACTAGGTAAGCATTTACTTACTACTGGCCATTTCATCTCCCGCCTTCTGGTTTGGTTTTTCCGTGTTTCTTTTTCTTTCTGTTTCGGTCTGCTTTTGCCAGTTGGTGGTTTTCCAGGATGATTTGGTCGTTCTCCCTCCTTTTTATGTTTCACATCTCTGCTCTAGATTTTTGTCATGTAGTTACAATGGGGTTTACACAAGGCATCTCATAGAAGAAAGCAGTCTTTTCTCTACTGACTGCAGTTTTCTTTTCACCTATCATCCTTTTGCTCCTCTCCTCCTGTACTTTCGAAGTCGTGATGTTACCTCTTCCTCAGCTGTGACTTCATCCCCAGTTTTAGTAGCGAGAGTTATGTTAGCGAGAGTCTTTTCCTTTAGCATACAGTTAAGAGTATAATCTACCATTCCAAAAAGGAGTTAAATATTATAATATTCTAATTCCAACTGCTTGCTTATCACCCTAATCGGAACTTAGTGTGCTTTCATTTTGTTGTTGTTTTTGTTTCAATTTGAAGAGCTCCCTTCAACACCTCTTGTAAGGCAGGTCTCCAGTGGTGAACGCCCTGAGCTTTTGTTTTTCTGGGAAAGCCTTTGTTTCTCCTTCACATCCGAAAGGTAACTTTGCCAGAGGGGGTTCTTGGCTGCCAGCCCACATTTTTATTGTTCCTTCACACTTTTACTGGTTTCCTTCTGAAAGATGTATTGCATGTGACTGAGGAAATAAATAATGAACCACCGCACACTGAGAACCAAATAAATAAGTGAATTGCTTAAAGAAAGAGCACCCGATGGCTAAAACAGGAAGAAGTGAAATAGGGCCTCTGGTTTTTTTACTGCAAGATCTACTTAGCCACACATCATTGTTCTGCTCTCTTCCCACTTCTTTGAAAAGTAGAAGTTACTTCTAACATTGCTGCTAAGTGATGGTGTATATTTTTTTTTTACAAGTTGCCAACTATTTCTACTTTGGGAGCATGTGAATTTTTCCTTTCATTTGGATGTTTAGCAGTGCGTACACTAAAAGTTAAGTCTGTAGCATATTTGATAGTATCTATTTGTTTATTCAAGTTGGAATCACTCCTGAAAGATTTCTCCAGGGCAAGGAGTCAGGCTGACTTAAATATTTTTTCTTTTCTTTTTCTTTACTGTAATGAAAAGGAAGTTTAATATACAGAAACAAAACAAAACTTTCTCATAGACTGGCTAGTGGTAATGTTATTCAAAAGTTGTCTTTCAAACCTGAAAGACCCAGCTTGCTTAATTTTTTTTTATACTACCGAAAAAGAGTGTTTTGCCACAAATGAATAACGAACAGAGACATGTCACTGGCATGTTTATAATTATGAAATATCTAAAGCCCATTTACTTGATAAGAAAATAGTTAGAGGTAATTAGAGTATTTTAAAGTAAGGTGAAAGCTCATCTGGTTACGGTTGAGATTTCACCGGTCCTACTTTCAGATTGATGAGTGGGGCATTAAGTGCTTAAAGCAGTTTGTTGTTTTCCTTTGGTGAGACTGTGAAAGGAAGAAAAAGTGTAGCTCTCTGTGGCTACACTGTTCTACTGCGGCACGGATGATGAAGTCATGCCACCACTCGCAGAAGTAAAATGCACCAAAACAAAAAACAAACCAAATAGACATTCTCAGCTGACACAAACTTCAGTGTCTTTTCCCAGGGGGTTTCCAATTTTTTTTTCATTCTTACATATTTAATTACAGCTTAGATGTTTGAACTATTTCTTATGTCTCTGATGACTTTTCATCAGAATCCTTGACAACAGGGGCAGGTCTTACAATATTTTAAGTATGAGAAAAGAACTCTTCTTTTACTAACAGCTGAAATGGGAGATTAATAACCCAAATGCAAAACTTCATGTGAGTTTTCCGTTCTTTATCATTCTTTTAGTTTTCTCTAACTTTTGCTTTTCCAAGATGTTTTAGGTTCTCCATGCTAACTCCCTCCCCCCAACCCCCTCCAACCATAAAGGAGCTTAATTTTGTTCCTGGGACTTCATGGGATGAAGGTTTTGTCAATCCTAAGAAATCATCCTCCATACTAACATAAGTCCATAAACTTGACCTTCTTCTCCTTCCACAATAATGGAAAAATCAGGCAAAACCTATCTATTAGGTTTCAAAATCGTGCCCAGGGGGAGTTGACATCTAAAATGGTATCTGAAACCACATACACAATAAACAAGAGGAAAATGAAAAAGAGGGCTGGAAACTGCACAAGTAGATGGGTAAAAACCTATGAATATTCAAGGATGTACCGCATTTTAAAGTAAAAGTGTTTTCATAGTGTCTCCAGCAGTTCTGGGAGAAACATGTTTTCACAATCCTACAGCCATTTGCATAAGGAAGCATATTATGCCTATGTGGGGTTGGCAACTTAAAAAACATTAAAGCAATAGAGAGCACGCATAATCATTTTACTGCAGCAAATGGTTATTTTGAAATTGTAATTTTCCAAATTAAAAAGTCTCAGGTGGTACTCCCAGAAATGTGCCCTTTGAAAACTTTTCCTGGACGAAATGGGTTCTTTAGAACACAAGCACCCAAATCTTTGCACTCCCAGCAAGAAAGCAAAAGCAGGAAACATTTGGGGGCAGAGCCACGCCTGTATCCATGTAAATATTCAGGGACTTAAACACTGCCCCAAACAGTGATGAATTACTGAAAAAAAAAATCCCTTTATTTTTAAAATGCTTTCTTCTTCATAGAGAGGAATGGATTGACTGAGAACATACATGTTCTGAGTCTCCTCCTTCTTGAAGCTGATAGCATATGAAAGTTGAGCATTCAATGAAGACTGGCGGGGACACAACGAGATGACATCTCCTCCACGGAAGGTCTTGCCAGGCCTCCTCAGTGTCAGCATGTCCTTCAAGGACACCTGCGAACTCATCTTTAAGACGTTTTTTTCTGAATCATTTGGATTATTCCATTTATTTTTATTTTTCAAATAACGCTCAGGTTGACAACACCCCCATCTTCATTTTAAAGTCGTTCCAGTGCCTGTAAGGTAGAGCACTGAGGAACTCTGGCAGGAGGAGACGACCCCCGAGTCCTGCAGATGGACTGAGGGAGGAGACGTGTCATGGGCAAGATCCAAATGCAGACCGAGGAGGGCTGATGGGCAGCGACCCAAGGTGAACAGAGAGCGTCTCCGGGTGCAGGCTGGCTCCCCATGGCCCCCCATGTGTGCCTGGCCCTGGAGAATGGGCTCGAGGACGAGGCTGTGCACTCACTGACCTCTTGGTGCTGGTGCTGGAGATGGGCAGGTAGTCTGTGACCGCGATGTAGACGTACTGCTTGGCGTCATCGATCACGCTGTAGATAGCATCGATGTCGAAGCTTCTGTTCTTGGGGCAGAAGAGCTTGGGAGAATTCTGCAAAAACACACACAAAAACAAGCGTTTAGATTGCTTTTTGTTAGCTGGGGCTTTCTCTCTTTTGTTGCTGTGTTTTACATGTTCTAATGGAGCTTGGCTTTTGGGTCAAGTTTTGCAAACCAACTTCGCAGTTCTGGATGAGATCGGACTAATACATATGCGATCCTAGCATAGCTGAGGCATGTTCAGATCTGGGTGTGCTAGGACGGGTCTCGAGGCTGTCCTTTACGTCTGTTTTGGGAGGGAATTCTAACGTTCGATACCCACACCCGATTTGGGGAGCACTCTAACTCTAAACTTAGGGGGCTCTGGTGGACACCTTGTCAGGTAGAGCTGCAAATTTTCTCAGGAGTTACCGTGTACCTATTCTATACAGACGGTAAGTGGAGGGGCATGCGTAATCCAAGGAGTGTTTTGTACCGGAAGTCTGAATACATGGTTTCTGGAACTCCCTGCTGTGGGGGCGGGGCATTGGGTCTCTCATCCAAGGTTCAGGGGCTCCCCGCACCACGCTGCTGGGAATCCTCAACCCGGCTTAGGGAAGACAAAGTGGGTGTTCTAGATCCCGACCCGGAGGAATGCAGAGCGTGGGGGAGGGGGGCAGGAAAGGAGTCTGGTCAGCCCCGCCCCCACCCTGGCGTCCCTGCTCAGAAAGTCACCTTGGTAGCTGACTATCAGATGGTTTTTGATTATTTAAATGATTTTTACTTTGTTGAAAAAGACTAATGCCAAAACAACAACAAACCCTCATTAATGGACATAAAATAGAAACAAACCATACCACACAAAAGCAATAAAAAACAAAACCCAGAGCTGTCTCTCCCACTTGACCCAGCACACACATGGCGGTTACTCCGGCTGTCCCCGGGACACATGTTCCTGCTTTACAGCGTCTCCTGTGTCTCCCTGTCCCTCCTGCCATTTCTCCCTAGTGCTCTTTGCTGGGACTTTAACACATCATTTCCTTGTCACCATGATGTAAACACACACACACACACAGTCTGGGAATCCTGCCTGAACTCATCGGGGGGCTCTATCTCTGGCCCTCTGTCCCTGGCCTCCCGTTTCTCTGCCTCCCTCCTGGGCCAGCCACCATGCCCTCCGTGCCCCAAAGGGAAGGAACGGCCCAGCCCCCATCTGTGTGCTCTGTGTGTCCGCATTTCTGGCCCATCGGAGTCCTAGACTTCCTCTGCGCTCCAGCTCAAGGATGAGACCCTCCGTGGAACCCAGAGGCTCCTTCTCCTTTCTCTGGCCTCTCATAATATGATTTATCTGTGATATTAGTTAGCCTATGGCCCCTGCCTCACCGGCCTGCCGAGACAGTCCCTGGCTGGATTTTAGGAATTATATGCCACTCATATTTCTGTCTCTATCAATACAGTCAATATGGAAACGACTTAATTCCCTCAGCCTGTTGGGTCTGCTTTAAATGTTAGCACCAGGGGGCCTGGGTGGCTCAGTCAGTTAAGTGGCTGCCTTGGCTCGGGTCATGATCCCAGAGTCCTGGGATCGAGTCCCGCGTGGGGCTCCCTGCTCAGCAGGGAGTCTGCTTCTCCCTCTGCTGCCCCCCCTGCTTGTACTTTCTCTCTCTGTGTGTGTCAAATAAGTAAACTAAATCTTTAAAAAAAAATGTTAGCCCCAGACCAGGGCCCGAGCCAGTCCTCACACGCAGCCGGAGGCCCCTGTTTTTGTTTCGAAGTCTCCTGGATTTCCTTGTGGGTTCCCAAAACTAGTTTTGGTTTCAGGGAGGAGCAAATGGAGGCGTAGTGTCCTTGGTCTCCTCACATCTGGTCGTGCGTGGTGCCATCCAGTGCTCCTGGCCCGGCTTCCGCATTTACAGCCTGCGGCGTCTGGGCAGGGTCCCTTCCACCTGCTGAGCCCCGTGGCTGAAGGGGGGTGGGTCATCACCCGACACACCCGTCTCGCTTCTGGGCCTCTTCTGTGCTTGCTGGTCTTTGTTCCGCCAATAGCACTCAGCGCCTGCCACGTCCCAGCTCTAGTCTGGCCACTTGGCATACATCAGTGGCCCTAATAAGTTGCTGGCTTGGTGGCGTTTATTCTAGCCTGTGACATGGGGTCGTCTTCATGAGTCTGGGTGCTTCTGCACTGGCATGTGCCCCGCTGGGCTGCTTATCTCCAGCACCTGGTTATCTCCATGCCACTCCTAGCCCCTGCTATATAGCAGTATATGTGGGCTGAACGTGAGAGGGCTTCCTACGTTAACCAGCGCTGCAGGCTGGAGGGACTCCCGGATCGGACCTCACTCCCAGTGGAGCTGCTTCACGTTGGGTATTTCCATCTGCTCGGGAATAGCCCTGGATGTGCACTTGCCCACCACGTAGCTTCCTATGGTCCCATCGCCGAACCCGATGCCTGGAGTTTGGCAGGTGTTGCATGTGTGTATTAGGGAAATGCGTGACTATTTGTGTCAGTCCCCCCGTCCCTGGGGGCGTGGCGGTGCCTGACGGTGTGTTCCAGAGTCCACTACCTTTGAAAATAGTGTCTCGATATACCAGTGGTTTTGAAATATTTGCTTAAGACGTAAGTGAATGAACAACCACCTGAAGAATGACTGATCTACTGGTCCGACAGAGGAAGTTAACTAGTTCCAATAATTTAATTAGAAGGCTGTTAAGTCTCCCTCTTATTGGTCCTGAATTAATTTTTTTTTTAAGAAGATTTTATTTACTTATTTGACAGTGAGAGAGCACAAGCAGGCTTCCCGCTGAGCAGATAGCCGGATGTGGGGCTCTATCCCAGAACCCTGGGATCATGACCTGAGCAAAAGACAGATGCTTACCTCAGCAAGCCACCCAGGTAGCCCCTGAATTAATTTTCTGAGCCTTGCACTGTGTACTCCTTTATTATGGGAAGGAGCAGGAAAACATTCTCTTTGTTTTGGTTCTGTGATGACCTTTTACCACTCCAGTTCTCTTCTGCACCTGCATCTAGGCAATATGTTTCTCTTTCAGATCAATTAGTGCCTTAAACATGCACATAACTTGCTTTGTATAGTCTTTAAATGCTCGCCTTAGCAGGCTTCTGATTTATTTCACAACTGTTTCCTGGTTTGTAAAGAGTCCACACTCCATCCCAAGAATATTTAAGTTAAAATATATTAAACACAAAAAGCTGGCCCCACGGAAGGGAGAAAGTATTTGCAAACTGTATATGCGGAATGTATAGGAACACTCACCACTCAATAATAAAAATCCAAGTAAAGTGAGCAAAGGATTGGAAAGACATGTCTCAGAAAAGATGAACAAAGGGCCAACAAACACACTAAAATATACAAGTAAAAACCACAGGGACATACCATTTCACACCCACCAGGAGGGGTGAAATAAAATCGAAAATAACAGGCATTGGGAAAGATGTGGAGACACGGGAGCTGTCATTTGTTGCTGGTGGAATCGTCAATGGGGCAGCCAGTTTGGAGAACGGTTTGTCAGTCTCAGAGTGTGCCGCACACAGCTGTCACACGGCCCACCACACAGCTGTCACACGGCCCACCACACAGCTGTCACACGGCCCACCACACAGCTGTCACACGGCCCAC